CCCCTTGGGCCTCCCCATGCCCCAGCATCTACTCTTGCCCCTCCTCCGAACCCCTGCTGTTGCCACCAGACACAGGACAAGAACAGAGAGGCTGAGTCCTTATGCATTGTCACTCAGCCTATAACGGCAGTGAGGGCCAAAACTCCCTCCATCGCTGAGGCCAGGGCACTCACAGCATTGGATGTTGCCCTGGGAAATGGTGTATTTGTAGTAATCTGTCTGCGACCGGCATTGGTGGGACTTCAGGTGGGTGTAGCAGCAATCATGCTTCTGGCAGCACCTGGCAGGAGAGGGCAGTGGGTGGAGCAGGTGGGGTGCACCTGCAAGGGTCATTAGCTGGCTTTGGTTTCTGGCTACTGCTCCCCTGTGCCCACCCTGGGAGAGGCAAGGCCTTCAGGGCTCTGGTCTTCTTCGGGATTACAAGGGTGGATGCTGATCAAATGCTCCCAATGTACCAGGTAGCTGCTTTACTTCTAAATATTTTCCCATGACCTCATGACCACCCCATGACAGAGGTACGGTACACAGACTCAGGGAGGTCAAGGAAAATGGCCCCAGGCCCAGCTGGCCTCCTCCTCCTCTGCCCTATCTCAAATGAGATATGGGAAATAAAGAAGTGAGGCTTTTGAAAACATGTGATGTAAATGAGAAGTATGTGGGCACTGAGTCTAGATTAGAGTGTGGGAGTGCAAGGGGTCAGGCCTTCAGGGACTCTGGGGAAACTTCTAGAAGGCCAGCTCCAGGAGGGCTAGGACTCAGCACTTCCAAACACATAATCCATGCTCCATGAAAGGAATCCACAAAATGAGTCAACTCTGGAGGAGAACAGAGAAAGTCTCAGGGAAAGATTGCCCCCTGCAGGCCCGGGGTGGGGGTTACCAGTCTGTGGCATCTTTGGGCTGGCCGGTGCCACCAAGTCCGCAGTGACAGCCATAGGACCAGTAGTTGAAGAAGGCGATCTTCCCAGTCATTTGCCTGATCATCTTGCTCAGGTTCAGGAACCCCCCTTGGGTTGGAGTCACGCCTGCCAAGCAGCAATGAGGAGAAGGAATGAATGTCATAGGAGTGCCAGGGGCCACCAGGTGGGCACCTCTGCTGTGCCTGGACAAAATGAGTGAGCTTGGATTATGACGGTAATAAAATAATGACAACTACTTCTGCGGTTACATAGTGTGGCTGGAGGTGCAGCTGAGCAGCACAGCACAGGCTCAGCATGCACCAGGCCCTGCCTTCCATCTCCACCACCAGAGCCATAAAAATGAAATACATATACAACGACTTACTGAGTGCTTACTACATATTTCTTTGTGTATTGATTTAGTGACTCCATCCAGGGAGGTAATATTATTTTTTAACATATCCTTTTTGTTTGGGAATAGTTGCGATACAAAATGGCAAAGATGGTACCGAAGCTCCCATCTTCCCCTTGTCCAGTTTCTGCTAATTTATAATCTTATATAACTATGGTGCACTGGTTAAAATGAATACTGACACAGTGAATACCTTTAAGGGGCGGTGGATACCATTTAACACCCCCCC